GTATTTCAATAAAAAAAACATGCTTTTTCAATTTCAATATGATAACATGATTTGTTTGGGCATTGATGTTATATTGCAGAAATTGTGCAAAGGAAGTCTGAGGCATCCTTAAAATGCCTCCAGAGCAACGAATTCTCTTACACACTGCAAAGTAATGGAAATTCAATGGAAGGTTTCGCAGAACTTAAAGATGCAATCAACTCACATTTAGATGGCGATGTTGTAGAGCCTGTTCGGCCATTGAACAATGAATTTCTGGAACATTCAAATGAATTTTACAGTAAACCGTCATTCCAGCATGATATTGGTTCATGGACAACCTTCTATCCTGAGATTCCTAAAATGCATCAGTGTCAGATGAATGCTTTTGAGAACCAATATTATCCATTTCCTGTTGAGAATCGATTTCAATATGCTCCATACAATATGTGCACTCAAGGTTACCCCATCGATTTCCAGTTTCAGGACTTCCAATATTTTGTGGTCATTGATTTTGAGGCTACCTGTGACAAGGAAAGAAATCCCCATCCACAAGAAATAATTGAGTTTCCATCAGTCATCGTAAGCAGTGTGACTGGCCAACTAGAAGCGTGCTTCCAAACATATGTGCGGCCAACCTGCAACCAACTCCTGAGTGATTTCTGCAGGGATCTGACTGGTATCCAACAAATTCAGGTTAGCTGAGAATTTTTTAGTTTTTATTGAGTAATAACATGATATACAGTTTGCATACTTTGATGCTCCTTTAGTATTATACTTTTCCTTCCAATAAATATGTGTTGAGTAATGAGTGGTGCTTGTATTGGTGGTTCACTGCTTAAATCACAGGGCCAATCTTTTCACTAAATATATGAGCTAGTTACAATCTATTCCAACTCAGTTTTATCCCTTTAAGTAGATAAATAAAAGAAATTATCCAAGGTGGAAACTTGTAAAAGTTTGACCCTTGAAACTTTTTCCGTTGGTAATGCTTATTTAATATTTTGGGGTATATCAAATAAGGGTAAAATGACTTTTGCAAGTGACTCTTTCTTTTTCATGCAGCAACAAACTTTGGATGCTACTCAAAAGGGTCAAGATCAAATGATTGGCCTATTTAGTATTAAGAAAGTAGTTCATACTAGGTTTGATTTTAGGAACATGTTTAAGCATTGGGTAGCAATTCCTTTTAGATGTGTATCTCGTACAACTAGGTCGCCTTTCACGCAAAACTTTTAAAAGATAATCTGTTAAGGATTTTTTTCTTTGAAAAAGAAAAAGGAATCTCCATAAGGATTTGAAACCAAGCAATATAGTTAAATAACGATTATATGAAGGCAAAACGATGATGATCGGTAAGCTTTTAGTCCTTAAATGCTACCTCTTTAACCAAGCTGAGTTAGGTTTGAGTTTCAGCGCGCACTAACGTACACATATTTATTCTTCCCTTTTTGATAAGAAAAAAGTATGTTAAGAGAGAGAATACAGGTTATTCAAAAAGAATTATTAAAAAAGAGAGAGAATGCTGGATTTCTTTCCAAAAAAAAAAGAGAGAATACTGGCTGAGAGAACAGGGTATCCTCCTTAGAAGAAAACAAAATATAGAACATGAAAGGGAATTGGGGAAAGCCCAATATTACAATATCCTTCTAATTGCTTTCAAGCTAGATAAAACTATATATCCAAAGTCATGTGCTTACAAAGAGGATTATATTTAAAAAAAAAATGTGCTTACAAAGGGGATAAGAACACAGATGGTATCTCCTTTTGATATCTTGTTAATATATACCGCATACTTTTTTTTTTAAAAAAAAAAAGAGGATAAGAACACCACCCTATCTCAAATAAGATGAATGTACTGAAAGCGTGCATGAAGATTTTAGGATTTTGTTCCAACCAAAGAGCCCAACCATCAGCAAAAAGAGTGTCGCACCAATCTCGTTCTTTTTTTGTGGGAGCAATATCTTTTCTTTAATGGAACTTTGTCCTTGGATGGCAAAAGTAACCCCAAGGGCGAAGTTGATAAGGCAAAGGTTCGCGAATTTTAGGGAATAAACTTATAGCATCATTTATTTATAAAAAAAAAAACCTTATAGCATCACTGAGTCCGAAGAATTGTTCACAAGATTTTCCAAATGACAGTAATTCCTCTCTAGATTGTCTCCTCTAAGGAGGTAGCGACCTTTGAACTCTGAATTGAAGATTTCTGTTTCTATCAAATGGAGAGCAAATGCCCTGAAAAGCATTTCAGCTTAGCAACTCAACCCTTTTAACTATATGGCCCAAAATCCTCTTAACAGACTGCAATTTGCCATGAGTTCCTGGAGAATTGGGTAGCCCTAGCAAGCAATCTAAGGTCTCTTTATAGAAAAAGCTGCGAGCAAATGACAAAAAAAACTTACAACACTCTTGAAAATGACTATGGATGGGGTATCAACAGTCTGGTGGGATTGGAAAAGGGAAATGTGGATGGTGATTTATCTGTTATAAGGTTAAAAGAGTTCATTAATAAACAAAAATTTGAATATCACGAAATGGCACTCTTAATTTTTTAATATTAAATTGTGACAGAGGTTTTAATTTGATGTTTTGAAACAAGTTAAAAGAGTTCATTAATAAAAGAAAAATCTAATATTATGAAAGGGAAAAAACACCCTTAATTTTTAATATTAAATTGTAACAAAGGGTTTGATTTGATGTTTAAGCAAATCTAAGGTATCGTTTGTCATAATTGAAAATCTGAGGTGTTATAAGACTTGAAATGATAAACTTGCTGAAGTTATATGTTTGTTGATATTTCTCATTATTGTTTTGCATAGCTGGCCAAAGACTTGAAGAAACAGAGATGTTTATTTAGTGTTATGTTGCGTCATGGTCTCACTTTCTGTTTTTCACAATGCAATCCCCTTCTTTTGGGCCACGAGTTTTGTTCTTACAGTTGGTTGTGGTTTTAGGTGGATAGAGGGGTCACCCTAAGTGAGGCTCTCCTTCGGCATGACAAATGGCTTGAGAAGAAGGGAATAAAGAACACCAACTTTGCCGTAGTAACATGGTCAAACTGGGATTGCCGTGTGATGCTGGAATCAGAGTGCCGATTCAAGAAGATCCGTAAACCTCCTTATTTTAACAGGTAGGTGATTTTATGAGAAATTGTTTGGTTGAATCATATATTTTGTGACTTACCATTGGATTTATATTGGTTTTCAGATCATATTTAATAGACCAAGAATCTTTGTTGTCTTTGCCTGATATTCTGTAGATGGATCAACCTAAAAGTTCCTTTCCATGAGGTTTTTGGTGGTGCAAGGTGCAACCTAAAGGAAGCAGTTGAGATGGCTGGCTTGGCATGGCAGGGACGTGCTCACTGTGGCCTGGATGACGCCAAAAACACTGCTCGCCTACTTGCCCTCCTCATGCGTCGAGGTTTCAAATTCTCCATCACAAACTCACTGATGTGGCAGACCACTGATGTTTCATTGACATGGAAGCAGTTCCCAGAGAACATGTCGTGTACATATCATCATCCCCAGAAAGTGAAGGATATGCATGTTCCCCTTGTCCAATATCATCCTTACTGTTTCTGTGGGGTGAAGAGCAGCAGAGGGATGGTACGGAAACCAGGGCCAAAGCAAGGGAATGTTTTCTTTGGGTGCGGTAACTGGACCGCCATGAAAGGTGCTCGCTGCCATTACTTTGAATGGGCATCTCCCTGACTCAAAGAAAGTATGCAGACTCATTCCATGTTTGGTCATGGTAGAATGGTATCTAAAGACCCTCAAAGAATTCTGATGTAAAAAAACAGAAAAGAAAAAAAGAAAAGAAAAAAAAGAAAAACCTAGGGAGAGTGAGAGAGAGAGAGAGAGGTTGGTGTTGTGGCTTAATGGAAGCTTTATGTATGCCTCTGCTGATCTTGGCAAGGTTTGTTTGTGTTTCTTAGAGAACACAAGGTTAGGGTAGCTTGTCTGGCGAAAATGGAAAGTTACTAAGAGAGCTTCAGCCTGTAAAGCTGACTTATCATTGACAGAAAAGATTGGGAATATGAGTGGGGTTAGTAGTGTTAGATTAAAATGGTTTTACATGCTTAGACATGCTAAATTATCATCATAAATAAACTCTAATAGGGAGAGTCTGGTTTCCTATGCATTCCAATGCGAATCATCAGAGTTGCCGGCAATCAATTCTCTCTCTCTCTCTCTCTCTCTCTCTCTCTCTCTCTCTCATGTTGCTGCTTATATAACATAAGAACGTGTTATGCATGACAAGGCACATAGTTATGCATTATTGAATTGGTTGATTACCATTCTTAAGGCAATATTGAGGAAGGGTTTTGATGGTTTTTCAAAGTTCTCCATTTCCGTCGGATGGGAATGGAATTGATCATATCAGGAACCATCTGCCTGTCATGCATATAAACCTGTATAGGTGTATAATTCACCTACTTATCCAATTATGGTGATTGCTGGAGCTGAGATCATACAAATTATACGGTATTACTGAAAAAAGAAACAAACAACTGTCGTACCGCAGACGTAAAATCTGCTTTCAACTCATCGTTCCGACATTTCATTATTTTATAAAATGGCATTAGGGTTGGAAAGAAGTTGAGTTGAGGTGACTACCATTAGTATTTGATGTTTTATCCAATGTAAAATCCTTAGTTTGAATATATAAGTTATTAATTAGGTGGTGAGAGTTTTTTCAGTAATTTAGTGATTAAATTTACAGAATTATTTTACTCAAATGACATTTTCATGCAATTCTAAAAATTTTAACAAAAAATTTAGACATTCTTGTTTTCTCTATTTTGTTTTACTAAAATTTTAACAAAAACTTCTATCATCCATGAATAATATAACAATCGCGCAGAAGAAGAAAGATTTAAAAGAAAAATAAGTACAGTACATGAAAATACCTTTTAAATCGTCCATCAATACTGTTCAGATTTGATACCGGAGAAGCATATCCATGGCAGACCTTAGCACTTAGGTCAGTGCCATGTTTTTTTTCTTTTTTCTCTCCTCTCTTCCTCTGTTGTTCTTTAAAAAGCACCAACGTCGAAGACGCAAGTTTGCCAAGATGTCTAGGGTTGGGAGTCATGAAAATTAGGAATTACTTGTCATCACTTACAGAAACCAATGATGGGAGCCGGTATATACAGATAATCAGACATACATAAACCAATGCATACAGAGAATATAATTCTCTAGGTTTCTCTTATGTTGTGAATGTCAATTGCTTCAATAAGAGATTCTTTATTATGAATTCTCTTGAGCAATTTCCCCCCATAAACTTCCATCAAGAATACCACGGGAAATAAACTGCATCCTAAAAGAAGCATTTCAGAAGAACTACAAAAGAGAAAGGTTAATTTATTAGATTAGTCAAAAAGCCAGCCTCACCTTCCAAATTCAGAATTTTAACATTGGCTTAGGCACTGGGGGACGTTGGCGGCTATTGCACATAAATCACTCCGCTCAAACAACTCCCCCCCAACCACACCCCTATAATTCCAGTAAATATATGAAGAAGAGCCCGGGAGAATTTACAATGAGAGAAAAATTAGGAATCGGCTTGCTCAAATTTCACGGGTGCTCCTGATGAAGACGCACAACTCCCAGTTTGGAGGTAGAGGCTGTTGGCCACCATGGAATCACTCACCAAACCAACATCCGGATCGTCAAAATTTAGTGCGCCCCTAACCTTCCGGGTACTGGAAGAGATTATTTTGGATAGTTATTAACATTTAATATAGAGAAAAGGTTCTACATACATTAAGGTAAAAACAAAATGTACCTATTCAACCGGTTATTAATGGCAGTCAGATCTTTAGAAGGGCTTTGATAAGCATGAGTGCTCTCTCCAACACAAGCATAATAGCTTTTTGCACTATGTGAAATAAGAGCATCCATCTGCCAAAATGAGACAAGGGCAAGTCAGCAAAAGCATGAGATGCTTTCTATGGCAAGAAAAACAAACACACTAAGTATATTTTCTGTCTCCCAAAAAGAGGTAAAGTAAACCCAAACAAACTTATTCCCCCATCATTACCAACCAAAAAATTTCCCTTAAACGTGCAAATTTGCTTTTATCCTGCTTCATTTTTTTTTGAGATATTTTTCACTGAATGTTTTTAACTGCTAACCAATAATGTGAAATTACAAATAGCAGCAGCAAGACAAATAACTACCTTGGATGATCGCAATGGAGATACATATACATTATGTGCTGCAGATACTTTCTTTGGAGACATATCAGGGAGACTTGGGAAAGGAGATATTTTTGGGGATCCAGGACATGGACCTAATTGGCCCAGAAAGCATGAGTTAATACAATAGCTCGCAGAAGAGCAATCAATAATGAGGTCAAATAGAATTTGAGCACCAGAAGATAAATGTGGAAAGAGAGAATACCATCACTCTTGGCATTGGCCTCAGGAACCCGATTACTTTTCATAGCTGTCCCAACAGGACCAAGCTCCACCAGCAATGGTTTTACAACAGGAATAAACACTTCATTGTAAAATGTGATAATATCGACATGGTCCGGCCATGCTCTCTGTTTTTTTGAAAACTCAGAATGATTATACTTCCCTATAAAAACTGACAATTTACAGTAGATAATAAGCAACCTACCCCACTCCGGCGTGCTGACGCTGAATCAATAAAGACACTGCGAAAAACTTGTGGTTTGCAATGTGGTTGCTTCCGATAGTTGTAAATGATTTCCCTAAAGGTCAGGTTCAGTTGTGAAATCTGCAAGCCATTTGTAAACAGTGTAAGAGGGAAAAAAGAATAGGTCAATAAATGGAATGCAGCCCACTAACTTTTTTGCATTACTTCCAACAAACCTTGGCAACTCCATAGAAACAACACAGGATGATCTGGTCAATATGACGATTAAAGAATAGAGAAGTCCGTTGACTCAGAATTTTCTGGAAGAGACAATAAACACTCTCTCTCATCTGCTGCGACAGCTGTAGCCTTTCAACCATACCATTAATTCTGACAGCTGCCAGCTTATTAATCTATGCAGTACAGACAAACATGTGGACTCAGAACATAAATCTTGAGAGTAAAATGCAACATAAAAGAATTATTACTAGAATCGTAAAAAGAGACAAGATTGCAAAGTTGATCAAGAACAAGTCATTCAGCATCAGGTATAAGTTCTACAAGAAGTTGAACGGTGGTTGGTAGTATAAGATTATATAGAGGGACACAGCAAATGGAGCTACAACCACTTCAAGATCACTGCCATTTCCTCTATGTAACATGTTAAACAAATGATCAGGATTACTTTGAAGTACATGGAAAATTTCAAAAACACATCTTGTTCACATACCTTGGTAAAAAATATACTCATTCCAGTCTCTGCAAATGTTTCTCCTCCACCTCCAGGGTTAGGTCGTGTCGGACTGCAGTCAAATATCTCGATTATAACTAAAAGTGTAAAAAAAGGAATATGTCCGTGAAATTAGATTGGTACCTACTTCCTGATCTCAGAACAATTACCCAATAATACCTGGCGAATGCAGACTGCAGAGGAGGCGGTGGCATCTTGGATTTAGTTTGACTTAAGGTTAGTAGACGATCTTTCACTGGTGAAGTAAAGGAGTTCCGCTCTACTAAAACACTCCGGAAATCTGTGCAGAGTCTCTTTGGAGATTTGATGTCTCCATTCTGGCCTGAAGATGATAAAAAATATCCACAGCTTAGATTGAAATTAGGTACTTCTCCTTTTTTTCCCCTTTCAGGGGAGAGAAGAGGTGGGAAGTTATCCAATCATAACTGTGCATACTAACTCCTAAGCTAGCATGCAGCAAAGCATGCCATCTACACTAGCACGTTGCATATATCAGTTTACAAAAAATTAAGCACCAACATTGCATATGTCTGTTTGGAGTGGCAAAAATCATTACCTAGAGAGATTTCATGCTTCTGCGAAGAAGGCACAGGAGGTAAGCTTCCAGAAGAAAAGTTAATATGCATGGCTATTGCATCCAAAGATGGCATTGGTTCCGCTAATAATCCAAGACGAGTTATCTCTCCAGCGAGGGCTGGTCTAGCAACTGTTAAAGAAT